CTCCTATGTCGCATGCCCAGGGGCGGGGACGCCCATACGCCGTGCGCCCGGGGCTGGCACAACCCATGTATTGCGTGCCTGGGAGTAGGGTCGCCCATGTGCTGCGTGCCCAGGGCTGGCGCCGCCCCTGTGCCGTGCACCCGGGGGTGGGGTGGACCCAATCACTTGGCAGGCGCATAGAAATGGCCCAGCGGGTGCCATGGCGCCTGCGGACACCGCGTTGGGGACCACTGCCCTACAGGGCTGCTGGCAGCGTTCTCAGGTCGTTGGGCACCTGGAGAGTCCATTTCTGGACACACATGGGACCTGCAGGCGAGCCCTCTGCCATTGTGCTGGAGAGGCAGGTTCTGTTGAAGGGTGTGCACTAGCCCGGTGAGCCAGCAGTGCATTGCTCTGCTCGTTCCTCTCCCGACGGGGCTCTTCCTCTCCTTTCACAGCACCCCCTGAGCTGAGAGGTGGTGGCCCTCAGAGGAATGTTTCCATCCTGGCCGGCCAGCCCCTGACGCTGGACTGTGATGTTTCTGGCATCCCAGCTCCTACTGTCACATGGTACAAGGATGGGCAGTTGGTAAGTTGCGGGCGAAGAGAGCCAGTGGGCACTATGGCGTCAGCAGGAGCTGTCCCCACCCTGGGTTGGAGAATGGCAGCGGAAGTCAAGTGCTCTGCTCTGGTTCTGGGTGGCAGGTAGCAGAGGGTAAAGCGGCTTCTGACCCTGTCCCAATTCTATCTCTTTCCCCCAGCTCACAGAGGGTGGCAGCCTCCGCTTCCTCAGTGGAGCACAGTCCGTCCAGTTCCACAAGGTGCGGCAGGAGGACTCAGGGTCCTACGCCTGCAGAGCTGTGAACAGGGTCGGTGAGGCCCAACGACACTTCCACATCCTCGTTCTTGGTGAGTCCCGGTCCTGAGCCTTCTTCTGTCCAAGGCAAAAGTATCCCTGGCTGGGCCAGCAGAGCCTCTCTAGGGACTGGTGAGAGACACTAATCCCAGTGTCCCAGCCCCCCTGCCAGGCCTAACCAGCCAGCATGCTGACGGCCCCTCTGGAAAAGGGCTCAACTTCCTTGGCAGCTGCTACTCTTTCACCTCCCCAAAGCCAGCAAGGGTGCAGGCCAGAGGTTGAATCCTTGGGCCACATTCAGACCTTGGAGTAAGCAAGTGCAACTCCATTGGCTTCCTGTGAATTGCGTCCTCTTACACCAGGTCTGAATTTGGCCGGGGGTGTCGCGTTCATAACATGACAGCAGAAGACAATGCTAAATGAGGAGATAAAGTAGAGAAGCTCTGCTGAGCCTCTGCTTAGTGAGAAGCCAGGAAGTGGCTGCACTGCATTAAGGAAGTACGGAGGCTTTCCATTGCCCTCTGCCTTTACTTTGCTAACCTGCCTGATAGGGTGCCGGGGGATGGGTGTTCTGCGTCTCTCAGGACTAGGGATGTGAAAGGTTAAGGGTGATGCTTGTCTGTTCCAGTTAACTAGTGGGACCTGGAGCAGCTCCCAGCCCTCTGCAGGCAGGAAGCTGCTCCAGCCACCCAAAGCAGCCCCTATCTGCATCGAACCCAGCCACGTCACAGGCAGGGACTGCTCCAGCCCGGCCATGCCGCCCCTACCAACCCCTCATTTAATCAGTTAACTGGTTAAACATCACATTTCACTGGTTAAACAATTAAACAGGATTTTACACCCCTACTCTACACTGCATTTGGGAGGTGTCCGGGAGGAGGACAGTGAAACTGACATGCATTTCCAGACCTTCACGCACCTTATAAACAGCAATAAAGCTGTTAATCCCCGTGTAGTGCACCTATCAAACTATCCCTCCCTGCCCCAGTCTGCCCCTCGTCACCTATGTCCTTGGCCATTGTCTTTGTGGCTCTCCCGTTATCTCCCCCTTCCTTTCCTCCCCTAGTCTCGCCCGTGGTGTATGGATTGGGGTCGCCCCCCGACGTGTCAGTGCTGGTGGGCTCTGAGGTGGAGCTGCAGTGTCGGAGCACGGGCGTGCCACCTCCCCAGGTGGAGTGGATGAAGGATGGCCAGTAAGTGCGCGGTGGCTGTTGCCAATCTCTGGCTGAGGCTCCCTGGCCAGCTCAGGTCAGCTAGAGGCTGCAGAAAGCTGGTTTATCAGCTGGTGCATTGCTGGGCTGAGGCCCTAGATGGGGGTAAGCCGGGCTGGTGTTTGGGACCTGGCCTACATGCTGTTTTCGAATGGGTTCCTGGAACACAAAGTGCTTTTGGAAACCCAGTGACCTCTCCATCGGCTTTTTTTTTCTCAGAGCCCACCCTGGGCAGCCTCAGCACAAAGGTCCAAGGACAGGCTCTGCTTCTCCCCCCAGCAAGGGTCCCTCCCGGGCACAGGCCTCGCTGAGCACACAGGATGTGATCTGTGTGGGCTGCAGGCTTTCCTGCAGGCCAAGTTGGCTCTCCCACTGGGGAAAAGCTCTGCTGTGACACGGCAGCACATGGTGATGATGCTGATCTCATCCAGAGAGCCTGATGATCAGACACCCCCTCTGCTCTCAAAGCTGCATCAGGGTTGAGACAGATGTGGGGGAGCTTTTGCTACTTCTGCCCCATTTCTGTGGGCAAATAGATGGTCTTGGCCTCCCTGTCTTCCTATCCTGCACCTTTCCCCAGCCTGACTGTTACTAAACGGCTGTGTCTACACTGGGCCACTTATTCCGGAAAAGCAGCCGCTTTTCCGGAATAAGCTGCGAGCTGTCTACACTGGCCGCTTGCTTTTCCGGAAAAGCAACGACGATCTACTGTACAAAATCAGCCGCTATTCCAGAAAAACTATTCTGCTCCCGCTCGGGCATAAGTCCTTATTCCGGAACACTGTTCCGGAAAAGGGCCAGTGTAGACAGCACAGTAGTCTTTTCCGGAAAAAAGCCCCGATCGCGAAAATGACGCTCGGGGCTCTTTTCTGGAAAAGCGCGTCTACATTGGCCACAGATGCTTTTCCGGAAAAAGGGCTTTTCCAGAAAAGCAGCCTGCCAATGTAGACGCTCCTTTTCCAGAAAAAGTGAAAACGAATAGTATTCCGTATTAAGCATTTCCGGAAAAAGGTGCCAGTGTAGACGTAGCCTATAAGTATAAACTCTCCCAGGATTGACTAGCACCCTTGGGCCTAAATCCAGCAGGCTCAGCACTCTGGCTGTGGTCTTATGCCTGGTTCTGAATTGAGCATTTGTACGGCTTCTGTATCCTCAGGCCTCTTGACCTGCTGGACTCTCGGATCCAGCTCCTGGAGCAGGGACAGGTGTTGAGGATCCAGGGCAGCCAGCTGGAAGACCAAGGGAGGTACCAGTGCCTAGCCTTCAACCAGGCTGGCCAGCAAACCAAGACTTTCCAGTTGCATATTTACAGTAAGTTCCCAAAGTAGAATTTCCTCGGCAGCCTGCTGTTAGAACTGCAAAGAGAAGGGGGTGAGTGTGACAAGAAATCTGTCTACATTGCCATTTGGAGGGAGCCAGGGGAGACAGTGCGCTAAAAGTAGCAACAAGAACATTAGGGCTCAGAACTGGAAGAGACTTCAGGAGGTCATCAAGTCCAGCCCCCTGCACAAAGCAGAACCCATCCCAAGAAAATCAACCCAGCCAGGGCTTTTTCAAGCCGAGAATTAAAAACTTCTGGGGATGGAGATTCCACCACCTCCCTAGGGAACCCATTCCAGTGCCTCACCACCCTCCTAGGGAAATAGTTTTTCCTAATATCCAACCTAGACCTCCCTCACTGTGTTAGCTCAAGTCACCACTGAAACTCTCTGCCCTGGCAGGAGCCCTGCTGGCCAAGTCTGTCTGCCCAGGCTGAGCTGCAGCAGAAAGTACCAGCGAGAGATTTTCTCTCCCAAACTCTTCTTCCAGGGTCCATGAGGCCAAGGCTAGTTTAAGTAATTGGTGATCCGATTATGCATTGCCCGTTGGGGATGTCTTGTGGTTTTAGCAGTGGGTCATGTGCCGGTAGCCTGCAGATCCTTATTTCTCCCCAGCAGTGTGCTGGAGTGGGTGAGGATCCTTGATTGTGTTCCCCAGTGGGTGATGGCTGCATTGTGCCAATGCGCTGCCCTGAACCTAAACCGCCTTTACTCCTGTTTCCTCACCACCAGCCCTCAATCCCTGAGCCTCCACCCTTCCCTCACTGCCTGCAGGACCAGAAAAGAGTTCTTCAGCCAGGCGTGTTATAGGAGCTCACCTGCTTGTAGCCATAGAGTATAGAGGGTTTTGGGTTCCCAGGCCACCGCTGGAGGCAGACTACAGGACAGTGCTGCTTCTCTAGGAGTCGCTTGACATAGTCCAGCCTGAAAGGACCAGCTGTGGCCCCGCCATGGCTTCTGTGTGATGTGCCTTCCCTGCCCTTGCGGAGCACTGTGCCCGAGGAGCGAGAGAGCTGGACCTGTTGGGGTCACCCGCATTTCACTCTCCACGTTCATTTCCCTTTTCAGCACCACCCACCATCCTGGGGTCCAGCGAAAGGGCAGAAGTCGTGGCCCTGCTCAACCACCCCATCGGGCTCCAGTGCGAGGCTCGGGGCTCACCGGCTCCCAGCATCACCTGGTTCAAAGACAAGCGCCCCATCGTCTCCAGCGCCCGGGCAGCGTACACCAGTGGGGGGCGGGGCCTGCAGCTCGGCCAGGCCCAGCTGTCTGATGCGGGGCTCTACACCTGCCGGGCCACCAACCCTGCGGGGGTGGCAGAGAAGGCTGTGAGGCTGGCGGTGTATGGTAAGGCTTCCCGGGCCACCCAGCCATGTGCTTGGAGAGGGAGAGGGGCCCGCGACGCTTGTTCTCCCCAGCAGCCTGGGCAGTGCAACAGAACCTGGCCGTTGTTCCCAGGCGACAAACTAGGCAGCGCTGGCTGTAGGGCCAGGACTTTGTCAGTCGAGGCCGATGGTCCATGGGGCTCATTGCCATGGTCACAGGGAGCAGTGTTAGGAAAGTGACGTGTGCAGAGGGTGGGTGCTGCTCCCCTCATGCTTGTCAGCTCCTCCTGCAGCGGCAGGTGCCCTGCTGCCTTCCTGGGCCTCTCCCCTCATTGGTCCTGCCTTGGGCTGCTCCAGGCGCCAGCATTTGGGCAGAGCTGTATGGTGTGGGGTCTCCGGTCCATCCAGTCCCTCTGCTTCCCCAGCAGAGAATCCCACCCTTCCTGGACCTCCCCCCACCCCGCACAGGTAACAGCACGCCGGCAATGGCAGTGACGGGTGAGGTGTGTCTCTGTTCCACCTCCCTGGTGCTAGTGCCCGCTGTCTTCCCTGCCCCTGCAGTGCCACCGGATATTGACGGCAACAGCCAAGCAGGCCAAACTGTGGAGGCAGCAGTGGGCCAGCTGTTGGCGTTGGAGTGTTCAGCCAGCGGCCAGCCCCCACCTGCCCTCTCCTGGCTCAAAGACGGCCTCCCGTTGGCCGAAAGCAACGGGACACAGCTCCTGGGAGGCGGTGCGGTGCTGAGAATCGAGAGTGTCTCCGAGGGCTCAGGAGGGAGCTATACCTGCTTAGCTAGCAGCCCAGCAGGGCAGAAGGCGAGCCACTATTGGGTGGTCGTTCGGGGTAAGGCTCTCGGAGGGGTCGCGGTGATACTGCATTCGCTACAGGGCTAGGGGAGCAGCTCAGCATTCTTAGAGGGCTACTGTGTCATGATAGGGCCAAGGCCAGGAGCATGGTAGCTGCCTTGGGTAGGGCTGGGGAAGAACTGACTGCATGGAGGAGCTCTGAATGGATTTGCCATTTTGGGATGACTTTTGTCATGTATTTCACTGCAGCCCCCTGGCTGCCCTCAAGATCCCTGGAACTGACTGTGCTCCTCAGCTGCTCCCGGATCCCCAGGGATACTAACTGTGCTGAGTCTCCCGACTGCTTCCGGATCCCCAGGGAAACCTAACTGTGCCCCGCCCCCCGGATCTTCTGGCAGTTCCCTGGGGATGAATTTGCTCCTATAATAGGGTCACAGTCTGGGTTGGGTTGGACTCCTCTTATTCTCCGCTGACTTTTCATTTGTGCTTTCTTATTCCACTCAGCTCCTCCCCAGCTGCTGATTGGCGAAGGGGAAGGTCATGTGATAGCAATGGTGAATGACTCCCTGAGGATTCCCTGCCATGCCACTGGCTTCCCTGCTCCCGCGGTCCAGTGAGTACCGAGATGGCATGCACAAGGAAACCCCTTCCTGGGGTCGAGCATGGGTCATCCTGAGGCGTCTGTCTGTCCCCTTAACCCTTTGAGTGCTGGGCTGTAGAACAGGCTCAGCAGCCCCAGGGGTCTCAAGGAATGCAGGATGCATGCCATCTGCTCAGTGGAAGTGACCCAGTGGGGACGGAGGAGCTAAGCCTTTACTCTGGACTTTTTCTTCAGGTTAAATGGCTCCCTCCCATCCCCTGCCCCACTCTTCTCTAGTTTGGGGTATAAACGTGCCCCAGCTAGCACTGTCCCATAACAGCTCTACCTTAGCGCCATCAACCCAGGTGAATGCCCCTGTCATCGGCCTGCTGGGGAAGCTGATGGAAACCTCCTGTGAGCAATGAAGGGTGTTGTGCTGATTCACCTTCCTCTCCCCGGAGTAACTCCCTCTGTCCTGAGCACAGCAGCCAGTGGGCTCTATGCTGAAATACTGGGGTGAAAGTAGTTTGCAGTTTCTTACAGGCACCATCCTATTGCAACCTGGGTCCCTGCCAGCTCCTTAAATAGCTCTCTGTCGGCTTTTGCCATGGCTCAGCCAGCTCTTGCCGGAGCTGCGTACCAGGGCGCACCCGCTTACTTTCACCTCTGTGAATAGGGGTGCTAGGTGTCTGCTTTTTGCCCAGACAGTTCGGTATTTTGGCCTTCCATCCGGTAAAAAAACAAACAGCATGTAAAATGTCCAGTATTTTCTGTTTTCCTCGTAAAAAAAACCAGAGCATGTAAAATGTCCAGTATTTTCTATTTTCCTCGGATGGAAGGCCAGTGGCATCTGCGAGGCCAAGGGGAGTGAGGAGTGTGGTAATTTAAAGGCGCAGTGGCCTTTTTTTTCTCAAAAAGATGGCTGGTGGCATCTGTGAGGGCAGGAAGAGGAAGGAGCACAGTAATATAAAGGTGCAGAAGCCTTTTTTTCTCAAAAAGATGGCTGGCATCGTCTGTGAGAGCGAGGGGAACAAAGAGCATGGAAATTTAAAGGCGCAGTGGACTTTTTTGTCCTCAAAAAGATGGCTGTCTGCATCTGCGAGGGTGGGGGGAATGAGGAGCGCGGTAATTTAAAGGCGCAGCGACCCCTTTCTTTTCTTTTTTTTGCTCAATCAATTTTTCCCTGATTGTTCGGGACGGTATCTGGCAACCCTATCTGTGAAATAACCTGTGTACTATGGGGAAGTGAAGGTGCTTCTCCCATAGCAAACCCTGCTAGTTGCTCTGTGATCCCACCCCTTGATGCCACTTCAGCTCCCTGTTTCTCTGTTGATTGCCTTGCCTGGTGGGTGACAAGCCTCCTGCTAGGTGGTGGGTGGGGGGGCGCTGTTCTTCCCCTGGTAGGAACTCACCTGTCAGTCTCTCTGCCAGGTGGCTGAAGAATGGCCAGCCAATCGGCGAGCTGGATGGGGTGGTGAAGGCAGAGGACGGAAGGGAGCTTTGGATTCCCCAGGTGGGGCTCCGCCATGAAGGGCTCTATGCCTGCGAAGCCAGCAGCGAGGTGGGCGGAGCCAGAGCTGAGGTGCAGGTGTCCGTGCAAGGTGAGCAGAACTTTCCCGACCTGCCTGTCGGAGAAGCAAGTCCCAGGCTGAGCACTGGCACAGGGGGCATCTTGCTGGGGAGGAAGGTCTCAGCCAGCCTGCTGGGAATGCTGCATCTCCAGGGTCACGGGTCCAGGAATGAGCGTGGCGCCCACCCCAGCCATTTGCTCTTGAAGGAGGTTCCCTGGTTGGCTCTAGACTAGGGTGGACAAGTTCCAGCCCATCAGGCCTTTGGATCTGGCCCACGGACTGCCCCCCTGGGACCCTGAGGCAGGCTCCCTGCCTGCCGCAGCTCCAGGCTCAAAGCAGTTCCCCTGATGTTCCTCTCTGCGATGCGTCTGGGGGTGGGAAGTAACTTCACGTGCTGCCCCTGCCCACAGTCCATTCATAGCAGTTCCCATTGGCCAGAAACGCCTTTCTAGGTAAGTGCCTATCAGCCAGAGCCTGCACCTGGCACCCCACCCCCTCCTGCAGCCCAACTCCCTGCCCCAAGTCACCACCCAAATGCTCTGTATCCCCCTTACACACCTCCCCCAGGCCAGAATCCTCTCCTGAACCCATACTCTCTCCCAGACCCTGCACCCCAATCCCCTGCCCCAGGTCACAACCCCCTACTTCACTCAAACTCCCTCTCGGTTCCCACATCCCCTCCTAACCCCAGTCTCTTATCCTGAGCTCCCTTCCACACCCACCTTCTGTCCCAGACCCCGCACTTCGTCCACAGAAAACTGTGGCCTTTGACTGCTTGCCAAAATCTTGGGTGTCCCCCCCCCAACATAAAACATTATTGCCCACCCCTTCTTTAGACAAACAGGCTACGTCTACACTGCAGGCTTTTTGTGCAAGAATGGCCATTACACTGCACGCACGTTCTTGTGCAAGTAAGTTTACAGTAAAGCGTTGGAACAGCGGGCTTCTTGCGCAAGAGTTATTCTTCTCCCCACGAGGAATAAGCCCTCTTGCGCAAGAAGGCAGTGTGGACAGGCAACAGGGGTTTCTTGCGCAAGAAACCCCTATGGCTAAAATGGCCATCAGAGCTTTCTTGTGCAAGAGAGCGTCCACACGGCTATGGACGCTCTTGCACAAAAGCACATGGCAGTGTGGACGCGCTCCTGCGCAAGAAGCCTGCAGTGTAGACGTAGCCATAGTGTGTGTGGGCAGGTCACAGTGCACCGGCATCTACTACTGGGGACTGGGGTGGCATAATCATGTGTGTCCCAGGCGGGAGAGGTTGGCGGGAACAGTCACCAGGGCAGAGATCTGGTGCGTCCCATGAGGCTTATCCTCACATATGAAGGAGACAGCCGGTAAAGTTTCCAAAGCTGAAGGAGAGGCTCGCTATGACAGACCCACTCACACCCTGTGTCGGCTCATCCACCTCCCCATGGGTGAGACTGGCACGTGCGCATGTGGCACCACCTCCTCCCCCCCTCCTTTCTTGCCAGAGCGCCCGTCGGTCAGCGTCGTGGGCGGAGAGGAGGTCAGCGTTGCCTTTCGTCACTCGGTGGAGGTTCAGTGCCTGGCCACCGGTGTCCCGGTGCCCAGCCTCAGCTGGTGGAAGGATGGGATTGCTCTCCAGGCAACAGGCAGCCTTCTGCAGGTAGGATGGGTGCAGCTGCTGCCCAGGCAGACGGGCAGGGAGCAGATGGGGTGCTGCAAAGATCATATGTGAACATGCAAGCCCTTGGGGTCCTGGCTCCAGGCTGGGCTTAGGTCACAGCTGAAAACAAGTGTGGTCCCAGCCTAGTGCATGTTGGGCTAAGGCCACATCTGTCTCTGAGAGCTAGAATAGCCGGGGATTGAAATCAGGATGGAGGTGCAGTAGCAGAGCTGTGGGGGAACTCAGGGCTAGCACAGCAGGGAGCTGCGTGTTTGTTGGAGGTGCCCTGGCTGGGTTGGCAGGGCTACGGAGGAAGGAAAGACTGCTGAGTGGCCATGGCTCTGAGTTGCTGTTCTGAGCTGTTCTCTTTGCAGGATGTGACTGTGCTCGTGGGTAGTGCCTTTGTGTGCAGCAAGACTCTAACTATTTAGTCCCTCCTGTCCTCCCCCTCTCCCCCTTAGATCACAAAGGTGGACGTGGCGGACGAAGGGGTTTACTCGTGTGTGGCGACGAACCCTGCGGGGGAGGGGAGGCGAGACATCACGGTGAAGGTGCTGGGTGAGGAGACAAGGACAGGACGGGCTGCACCCAGCAATCTAGCCCCAGCTCCACCCTGGCAGTCAGCACCCTGAGCTGCAACCGGCCATCAGAGCCACCCCCGGCCTGAGGATGAACCAAACGGGATCAGTCTCTTCCCATCCCCTCCCTCCCTCTCTCTCTCTGTGAATGAAATTGACCCCGTTCAGTAGCAATGCAATACTTGCTGTTCATATAGCACCATACATCCTGCAACCCTAGTGCATTACCAATAATCATTAACCCTGACAGCACCCTGGTGAGGGAGACGGTGTCACCTCCCCTTTCACAAAGTCACAGTGACTTGGCCAAGGCCTCCCAGCCACTCAGTGGCAGAACTGGGTATAGGACCCAGAAGTCCGGGGACTACCAGCCCCCTGACTGTAACTGCTAGACAGCACTCCCTCCCGGAGCTGGTTATGGGGCCCAGCAGGGTGACTCCCAGCCCCTTTGCTGTATCCAGGCACAGTTGTGTGCATCAAATCTCCCCCTCCCAGCCTCCTCCCTCCCTGAGCTGTGTCTGGTGAGAACCTGCTCGCGGCCCTAAGTGGGGTTTTCAGAGCAGCCGTGCTGATGGAATGTTTCTTTGCAGTGCCTCCGAACATTGAACCTGGAGAGGTGAACCAGACCGTCCCTGAGAACTTCCCGGCATCCTTTGAGTGCCTGGCCTCTGGAATGCCCACTCCGAGTAAGGCAACTCCTCTCCCTCTACTCTTCTTCTGTCCTGTGAGCATCCATTTGCCTGGCCTGGTTTCCCATCCCATCTTAGCCCTCTCTTCTGGGATCTTCTAGGCACTGGACCGGTCGCATGGAACTTCTCCTCCCTGTTGTGATTCTACCTCCGAGCCCACAGCAGGAAGCACCCGCTAAAGGGCTCCATGATTGCTTGTAATAGATTACTGTCCTGGCCCCAGATCTCCTTGGGCCCCTGCTATACAAATGTACGGTCAGATTCTCCCTGCCCCACAGAGCCTACAATGTAAATGGGCAAATGGATAAAGGGGAACTGAGGCACAGAGAGACCAAGGCTGGATTTTCAAAGGAGCCAAAGGGAGTTAGGTACCCAAACCCCATTGAATTACTGTGGATTTGAGTGTGTCACTCCCTTGGGTGTGCCTTTGAATCTCACTGCCATAGCATGTGCCAGAGCAGGGGACTGAACGTTGATCCACACCACCATGCCCGCTGCTGGTGTTGCCTGCTGCAAGGTGCTGCAGCAGGACAGCCAAGCCCCCCAGAGCCCAGTGCAAATCCCTCTCTTAAACAGATGTGAGCGAAGACCAGGGCTCAGGAGTCAGAGAATCCTGCAGGGGAGCGGCCAGACTGGCTTGCCCAGCCCTGGATTATCGCAGACGCAGTGGCAAAGGCTTTAAGCCCCTGATGAGGCAGGTCCGTGGGGTGGTGAAGGTGGCTGGGACACTCACTCAGCCTGCACCTCCTTTGCTTCCCTTGCAGAAGTGTCCTGGTACAAGGGGCCCCAGCTTCTCTCAGCCAGTCCAGGCCTCGTCCTGTTGGGTGATGGGAGGCGCCTGCGGATCGAGCGGGCTCAGGTCTCAGATGCAGGGAGCTATCGCTGCGTGGCATCCAGTGTGGCGGGCAGCAGCCAGCTCCATTACAGTCTGCAGGTGACTGGTGAGTGACCCAGTGAGTGAGGAAGAGACCAGCGTGTTTGTGGGCTTGGGTCTCTCCTCGGCTGGAGAGATTCCCTGGGCCGTGCTCACTGTCCCTCCCAGCTCTCAGGAGGGAGGGAGGGCGTGGACCAGGGAACAAAATATCAGAGCAAAAGCAGGAGGGTTTGTTTAGCGTGCTGGGCAATTCAGAGCCAGAGGCTCTTCTGAGCCATGCGATTTACCTTCCTCCCCCATGTCCTTCCTAGCAATGACTGTGTGACGTCCCAGAATGCCTTGCACCACCCAGCCACTTCAGTAACTCTGGTAACCCTCCAGTAACCCCTACTAATGTAAAGCACAGCATCTCGCCACGTGACCCCACGCCCCAGAGCAGGGCCTGTCACTCACCAGCTCCCACAGAACCCCCGGCTCATTCAAGGCCTTTGAGCTCTTGCTGGAGGCTTTGGCCTGGGATCAAATGTGGCTCTTGCTCCCCGAGAAGGCAGAATCCAGCCCCTCCTGGCTTGCCCCTGCTCTCAATAGGGATGCTGAATACCTCGCCCGTCAGGGCCAGAACCTCCCTTTTCTCCCCCAGCCTTGTACCGGTGATTGGGATTTTAACCCCAATGGGAAGTCCTGAGGGAAGAAGTCAGAGCAACAAACCTCATTCTTCTGGGTGGTTCTGCCTACCCTATCCTTCCCTTTCCCTTGCTGGCCTCCTGGAGTTTCTGTGATGCTCAGCACTTGCCTTTGCCCTCCACCCCCCCAGTGCCTCCCCGGATCACCTCTGGCCCCAGCTTTGTCACTGCCGTGCCGAGCGAGCGGGTGGAGCTGGCGTGCAAAGCTACAGGGATCCCTGCCCCCACGCTGGTGTGGCTGAAAGACGGCAATCCTGTTTCCAGCGCGGCGCCCAGGGAACTGCAGGTCAGTGTGGACGGCTAGTTTAGAGCCCCCGGAAGGGACTGTCTGTCTTTCCAGGCCCTGGCTCAGAGACTGTCTGTCCTTCCAGGCCTGTGCTCACAGTGCCCAGCCGCCCAGCCCATTCCTCTGTTGGAATTTTCCACCCTGGCAGGGCCGGGCCTCAGGCACAGAGCTGCCTCCCGGGCTGCTCCCCGCTCAGGTTTTGTTTCTCCGCTTGCTGCAAGCTGTGCTCGAAGGCTCAAGGCAGGCTGGCCCAGAGGGGTGACAGAGGGTTTGTGGTGAGAGCTGGCAGGGAGCAGCATTGCCACGTGACTCAGGGCCAGCACATTGCAGTAGGACATGGACCCTCCCGTGCCTCCCTGGTTTTGATGGTGGGGGAAGAGGATGGGCCTAGAGTCTCTTGCCAAGGCCTGGGTACCTGCTGGTGAGCCTAGTGCAAGCTCCCAGCACGTGCAGCTCTGTGGGTCCCCATCCTGGTGTGTGGGAAAGCCAGGGGCTGGGCCGTAGGCTGGACGCACCTCTCTCTGCTCACTGGTCCCTTTCTGGTTTGTTTCTGGGGACGGCACAGATCCTGTCTGGTGGACGCATCCTCTCCCTGCCCAGCGTGCACACCTCGGACTCGGGGACGTACTCTTGTGTGGCCATCAGTGCTGTGGGAGAGGATAGGTGGGATGCTGTCCTGCAGGTGCAAGGTCAGTACGGCCCTCTCTGACCCCTCCCCCGGCCAAGGACTCTGACTCAGACCCCAATTCCCCCGTCCCCCTCCTTTGCCTTTGTGATTCCATCTTTTCTAGAGCTGCTGCTGCTTTTCAGCTTGCAAGGCTCAGAGAAGCCAATCTGGCTGTTTGCTAAAGCCCTGCAAATATCAGTTACCCGCAAACCCCGCTGGGCCATTTGCTTCTCAGGGGTGCTGTCATGGGCTGCCTTTCCCAACCTTTTTTCGGTCCCCATATTCCCTCTTTTAGTAAACCTTCCTGTACCCTCTATTCACTATGAAAGGAAATAAATTCTAGACTCTAGAATCCACAACTTTTTTCACTACTACTTTTGGAATATTTCAATTAGGATAATCTAGTTATTTACCAAATATTCCCCGTGCCCCCTTGACAAGCTTCTCGTACCCCCGGGGGTACGTGTACCCCAGGTTGGGAACCCCTGGCCTAGCCTTTCCCAGTGCTTCCTTTGTGCCAGAGCTTGGCAGTTCCTAACTCTGGCACCTCTGAGCTTGGCAGTTCCTGGCTCCAGGGTCACTGGGGTTGGCAGTTCCTGACCCCGGCGCCACTGAGCTTGGCGATTCCTGGCTCCGGCGCCACTGGGCTTGGCGGTTCCTGGCTCCGGCGCTGCCAGGCTTGCTGTGTCAGTTATGAAAATAAAAATATTGCTTGAGCCCCAGCACCTTGCCAGTTAAGCGCTGGCCTCTCTGTTACGATCCAGTGTATGGGAGGAAGGAGCGAGTGAAGATTTGGAATCTGTTGTTAGGTTCATTCAGTAGCCCTGCTCCTGGCGTTGGCCTCAGGAAGGAGCCGTATGGGAGGAAGGTGCGAGTGAAGGTTTGGAATCTATTGTTAGGTTCATTCAGTAGCCCAGCTCCTGGCGTTGGCCTCAGGAAGGAGCCATTTCCCCATTCATCTTACCCCACAGATGTTTCCTTTCAGCGCCCTCAAATGGCCTTGGTGAGGAGCGGAATATGTCAGTCGTCGTCAACCGGACTGTGACCCTGGAATGCCAGAGCCGTTCCGCCCCCTCTCCTGTGCTCCAGTGGCTGAAAGACGGGCACCCTCTCCCGCAGGACCCCAGAGCTCGACTCTCTGCAGATGGGGCCATTCTCCAGGTGACTATTCTGGGGGATGCAGAGAACTTGACTCAGCAGTCAATGTGTCTGTCCCTGTACACCTGGCTCATTGGTCTCCCCTGGCTGGCCTTGGCAGGAATTCCACTTCCCATGTGACGTGTGGCTCAGGATCATGGAGAAATGGGCCTGCCACCGTCTCACCCGTTCCGCAGACAGGAGAGTCCTTGTGCTGAGCCAGCACTTACCTGGGCCCTTGATTTCGCTGGGCCCAGTGAGAATGGCTGCAGCACTGCGCCAGAACGAAGGGGATTGTTGCCAGGAGCTGCCTGGACAATGGGCCTGGGCTGTGGGCGGACTTTGGCTCTGCTGCTAGGCTGGTCGGGTACTTCTGCTTCCCTTGGGCGAGCAGCGTCCTGCTTGCCCTTCCCTCGATCCCACCCCAGCTCCGCTTGCTTTGACAGATAGAGCACGCTCAGGCGCACGACGCGGGGAGATACACGTGTGAGGTGCTGAGCCGCTTGGGCCGGTCAGCGAAGCACTACAACCTCAACGTCTGGGGTAAGAGCTCTGCACCCCACCAGCCAAGTGTTCTCCAGACATGGGAGGGGGACAAAGATCCCCTGCAGGGATGTGAAGATTCGCTGGCCCCATGCCCCAGTGTTGCTGTCTGTGAGCATTCCTCCCTATTAACCAAACAGCAGAGTACAGCCACCTCTTACAAGGGCCAGGAAAACACCTTGTAACTGTGATGGATTTTAAGAGCCTGCGGCTCTCATTATCTGAAGTTCCCCTGAAATACAGGCCCCATGGAAAGGAGAAATACCATTGGCCCTCCCCACTCCAGCTGTTCCTACCTGGATCTTTATAGCGAGGGTGGGTGATGCATCCGGGTTTGGACACTTCATTAGGTTCTGTCCATCCCGTGAAGACAGTGCCGTCTGTAATACACACAGCCTGTTCCCAAAGGTGGGGAGTGATACCTGTTTTCCACCTCCTGGCCAGTGAAACCTTGCATTAAGATCATTCCAGTGTCCTGCAAGGAGACCACATCCCTTTGGGATCTGCTCTGGCAATGCTAAAATCCTTCTCTTATGCATGGCACATCCTCTCACAACATATGAACGGCTCATGTGAAGTTCCTCAAACGCACTTGCACGCAGAGCCTTTCGCTAAGCCTCCAGAAGTGGAGGAGGCAGCTCAGCTGTGTTAGAACATTTTTTTTTTACTTTTAATAATTATAACTACCTGAAGTAGATGTTTCACACGCACAAAAATCTGCACTGAAAAAAATCTTACTAAGATCAGAGAACTCAAACGTTAAATACCAGAATTAAGGCTGGGCAACATTCTTCTGTAGTTTCATCCTTGAGAACAGGTACGCCATTTTGGCTGAAATTACCCCGAACAATAATAATAATCAGCTGAAGGCAAACACCTGGCAAAGAAAATTTTAGCAGAAGTGGTTGAAGTTTGGCAAAGTTTTAAGCAATTGAAAACAGGGGCTTATAATGGGAAGTGTCCAGCTACTATTGTAATAGTCCATGCTACTAGTCCTGTCTATACTAGTGTGGCCGGCCAGTCTGAAGGTTATTTCACTCCATGGCTGGCACAGTATACTTTCTAAACTGTTATATGCTGGAGGAGAGTTAAATGATTGAGACTAATGCTGGTTTTTAATAGCTGGAAGGTTGGAAATTATTCTTTCCATGTAGATCCAAGTGCAAATCAGTGTGACTGATCATGGCATTTGGGATTAAATGTGTGTGGCTGAGCAGGTTGGTTACCAATCAGAGCTCTAGGCAGGGTTCATGTGTTTCTCATTGTTCTCCTTTGGCCAACGCCACCTCTTGCAAGCCAGGGAGTAGCAAACAGAGCTAAATCCCCTGGGAATCTAGCTAGCATAACACACCACTGCTTCTGTACTATGTTACTCTGCTGCATTCTTCAAAGCTGGGAACTCCAGGCTCTGACGCCACTTGTACTCGGAGTTATACCCTTCTTTTGTCTTGTGCAGCTG